AAAGCTGACTGACGTTGTGGTGTAGCACTAAACACCACAACGCTAATAGAAGTTGCTGGCTGGCCAACATCATAAACACAAATGCAGTTGGCTAAACCGTCACGCCATTCAGCCGGAGGAACTCACATATTCCGAAATCAGGATGCCCTGACAACAAAAAACATGTTTTCCCGTCGGGGATGTGAAGGTCAAACTGGGCGCCTTGCTGCCTCTGACTAACCTGCTGATGTTTGTGGAACACATGTTCTGCTACATGACTTCACAGAGTTGTGGCACTATGGTGCCAGACTCGGCGCCAGACCAGTTCTGCCAGCTCAGAGAGCGCCAGCACTTGTTCCAGGCTCCAGCTGGAAGCCTTGCGGTAAAGGTCAGAAAACGGTATCTGCAACAAGACCTTTTTGCTGAAGAAAGTAACAGTAGCTAGCAGCTAGTGTGTATTGTTGTGTTCTTGAGGGGGATAGCCCAGCTAAGCCACAGCAAGCATTATGTAACATACAGTAAATGGGATTCCGGTTCTTTGCATCAAAACAGTTTTTCGAGTTATAGCAAAACTAAACAGAATTTCCTTTGCTGCAAAGGAGATATTGAAACGCGGCTACCCAAAAAGACATATCGGAACTGCTCCAAATGGCATTGAACAGCAGCACTCGCTCGCAGGAAAGAACCAAAGCTTGTCTGCTCCGAATCCAGTTCGCCTCGCAAAAGAGGAACCAAATACATACAGACTTCATTAAAGTGAGCAAGAACCACTCTAGGCTTAAAACGTCATTGCTGAATTTCTGTCCGAAGAAGTGCCGTAACGGCTGAGCGGCTGGGTCAGAGTAAACGCCAGATGTCTCCAGAGTAGAACACCTGAAAGCACAATACTGGGTTCCGGTATCTACATGCAGAACACAAGTCTCCAAACAACGATCAATACTAGCGACCCCGTTTGTTGAAGTCTTTTTTCCCCAAACATAATGTGGTCACACTAAGGGTTCTTACGGTAGTAGTTCGAGGTGGTTGCATCCGCGTCCGTTAATTTGCTGCTATCTACGGTCATTCATTCACCTCGAGATCTTCGACGTGCATTTCGACATATTTCGACTAGCGCTTTCCTCGACTGCGCTCTCCTTGTGCCGACGTGCAGATTTGGGGACTCTGTGGTCACTGATCGTGGCATGCAAGGGACACCTCGCGCTTTGGTGGTCCAAAATCGACTTCTCATGGCAGGCGCCGTCTTTGGAAGTTCTCTTGACTTTTGCTGCGAAACGCCTTGGCAGGGGTGCGGGATGTGCATCTCGATGCACAGATTTCATGCATAATGCGTGTGCTCTCATATGTGTCCCCTCAGGCCAGATCTCTAAATCTAAACATCTCTCCATCTCTCTAGACCTCTGGATCTCTCAACCTTGTTTCTAGCCCCTCTACACCTGCACCTCGGACCTCTAAACCTCTACGACCTCTATATAGATCTTTTTGGATGCTGCTCTTGTGCGCGCGTGCCCTTCAGACCCTCAGCCCTCCAGATCTCTACAGTACACATTTCTCTAAAGCCTGGCCCTAGACGTTGAATTCAGGTCTCAGACCCCTTGATATTTCTTGATCGAAGACTTCTGCACCTCGATCTCGGCCTTTAGATCTTTCGAGACCTCATAGATCTCTCTGGCTCAAGACCTGGATCTCAAGACCTCTAGACCTCTGCACCCTGCGCTCTCAAACTCTCAACCTCCGGACCTTGAGTAGCGTTAGAGAGCTAGATCCCTAAGCCTCTACTAGACCTGGAAGACCTGTAGGCCTCTCAATCCCTAGACGTCTAGACCTCTCAAATTCTAGGCCTCTAGGCTTGAGACCTGTGTTTCTAGGCCACTGGACTTGGAGGTTGAAATCCTCTAGGGTTGTAGAACACTACTAAACCTGGCTCTGCGATGCCCCCAGCTAAAACTCTAGACCTACACATCCAGATCTCTCTTCTGGATCTCAAGACCTCTAGGGCCTCTAGACCCTGAGTTCTGGATTTGAAGACCTCTCTAGACTTCAAACTCCTAATTGAAAGGCTTCATGTTCGATATTTGTGGGTCTCATCACATCAAGACCTCTAGGCCTCTAGATCTCCAGATCTAACCTCCAGGCTCTGCGCTCTCTAAATCTCTACACATTTAAAACTTTCTGGACCTCTAGATCTTTCTGGATCTCAGGATTCTCTGGATTTCAGGATTCTCTGGATTTCAAGACCTCTAGACCTCTAGATCTCTCTGCACCCCAATACCTCTAGATCTCTAGGCCTTCTGCTTCTACACCACTAGACCTTAGACCTCTACACACACTGTCAGGGGTCTATTGCCAGGATAATTGAGAAATCTTAGCGCTGGACAAACCGGCGTGCGTGTAGTTCGTGACATGCCTTGGGGTTGCAAGGTCCGCAAACGTGCTGAGAGCATCTTGCAGACTTGTTTCCAATTTGGATACAGCTAGATCAACACTTTGGGTGGCCAAAGCTTACAAATCGCTCCTTTTTGTTTGTTGGTATGATGCAAAGCCTTCTGCAGCTCTGTTGCGCTGACCATGCTCCGGAGGCCTCTCAGCTCTCTTGCAAGTCAATATCAGCCGATCTAAGTGATGCAACAAAACGTGCTCATCGCATCATTAGTGACACCAGCCGTGCCTCTTCATCTGCGCTCAGCTGCGCCTGCCTTTTGGCATAAGAATTCTTCCTTGGTGAGTAGCAAGTAGAGCTCGCCAAGCATATTGAAAAACTCAGAATTAGTCCAAGACTCGAAAAGCCAAGACCATCCCGCACAGGTGTTTTGAGCATACTTAGGGTGTAGGACCTGAAAGAGCTGCCGGATTTTGATTCAACAGGCTTTGGAATCAACAGGTGTTGCGAGATAGCTGTGAAGCTGTCCACATTTGTCACACCCAGGTCACACCCATGTTCTTGGTGTGAGCGCCTCTAGGAGCGCGCCACGTTCATCCCTTTTGTACATTCTATGGGGGTGGAGTAATCAACACGGGTTGGTGTTGTTGCTTCATGCGGGTCGTTTACCAGTTGACCCCTTGCTTCCAGTGAACATATGCACGCTCAACTGTTACATTTCTGATTCGTGTTGTGAGTTGGGACGCAACAGTTGGATGGGCAGTGGCAGCGCCTCAAAGCTTCCGTGCCAAAGAACTGGACTATATACTCGGAAGAAATGAAAAATAAAAGAAAAGGAGTTGTGGCAGTACATACATCAAGGCCAGTTCAAAAGGTTCACCCAAGCCATGTTCTTCAGAGTAGAACGAAAACATAAGCCCAGACACAAGAACGAGAGGTTTACTTCAGGTTCCAGAGCCAAAGCACGGATAAGATGCACACCACCTGACCTCAGTTCATGCTTCAAACCTCCGTGCGGTGAACTCAAAAAATGCGTTTGCCTTCCTGACTCTGGAAACCTTCTTGCAAGCCATGTGCTCATTTGTCTCCTGCAATGAAGGCGCCACCTCCGCCACAATAGCCAGAAACTATTGTGGAACCCTCATTGCTAGAAGTCCATCACATGGGCCCAATGCTGCTAGGTTCGCTAGAATGTTTACGACTTGCCAGGACAATCAGCCTGCATGAGCATCTTGACCTGGGCACAGCTGTGAACAAGATGGTAAGCAAAAATAGCGAATAAAGAGTCGAAAACGCGGGCCGAGCCTCACAAGCATTGCATCAATCTGGTATCTTGCTTGTCTTGTCTCTATCTTAAGCCATAAGCCAAGTAGCTTGAGCTCGGTGGCCGTTTCGATTGCACACCTGGCTCCAATGGCAAGCACAAGCCAGGCACACACCCCGAACAACTCACTGGCCTGAGGATCTGCCTTTGCGGCCAAAAGCAAGGGCATCATCTCCTTGCGAAAGGTGAAGATTCGACAAAACGCATTGCAAGTACAGTTGAAGGTTGTGTTTTCTATGTCCTTGCAAACAGAAGTTAGCACTAGTATGACAAGACTAGCGAAGAAAGCAGCTACCAAACCAGTGACGCAGTGAAGACAAGTGTATGTGTAAAGGGCACCAACCCGTATTCAAACGATGCTCAAAGGGATTATATAGTCGAAATAGTTAGGATGGATTGGGGTCATTGATGGTCATTGGCATCAACATGTACACACATACATGGGCTAGTAAACAGTAAACCTAAATCTCTCACCTGGAGACATCATTCTTTGTGCACGGCTGCAATGCTCGTGACACATCAGTCCTTCTCAATTCCGCCCATTTGGGCCCAGTGCAGGGCAGTGTTGCCGCGGGCATCTCTCACATCAACAGGAGCCATGCCCTCAAGCAATCGTTGAGCCGCCTCACAAAATTCAGCTGTCAAGGAAGAGAGGAATACAACGTAGCAATGTAACAGGTGTCAGTTCAACTGACTAGTCAGAAATCACACACGCCTCAACATGCCCGGCTAGGCATGCAACGCCTAAAGGTGTCAGACCAGTGCCAGAAGTTGCTGTTCCAAGTGCAACCTTGGCAAACACAAAACATCCAGATTTGTGCCTCGTTTATGTACACATCACCCATTTTGAAGCCAATGCTATTATGATTCGCAGCCCTGTGATGTTGGAGCCGGTCCACCATGTCCTGGTGGCAAAGTGACTTCAACAACTTGAACCTTTTTGGGAGAATCATGCTGCTCTGTTCACCAGACTGTCCTCCTTTAAGCACTCAATCAGGTTGCTGTCTCCATTCACAGCCGCCAGGTGAAAATGTGTCCAGCCCAACTTTTCAAGAGCCTGATTAAAAGTACATGGAACCGACTTGGTAAGTCAAGGTTGAAAGAATATCAATACAACTTGCACACAACCTCGTCCAATCGCCTGCTGCCAAATAGGATTGCACTTCGTTCGGGATCGTGCCTTCTGTGCGAAATGTTGAAGTTGCGCACGGGTCGGCATTTTTTTCTCTGTCTAGCAAGTACACTGCCTGATTACTACAGTAGGGTCCGGTGAGCTATCAAAAAAGTGAGTAACAAAACAAAAACATTAATTCCCACGCATCAATAAAACAAAACGAGTCAAAAAAATAATTACCTCATCAGCTGGTCCCCTGGTCCCTGCGTCCCATGGTCCTAGTAGTAGTCGTAGTGGTAGTTGCAGTAGCAGTAGCAGTAGTAGTAGTAGCAGTAGTAGTAGTGGTGGTGGTGGTGGTAGTAAATAGTAATAAGTAGTAACTAGTAAGTAGCAAGTAGCAAGTAGGAAGTAATAGTAAGTAGTAGTAAGTCGTAAGTCGTAAGTCGTAAGTGGTAAGTAGTAAGTAGTAGGGAGTAATATTACGTAGTAGTAGTAGTAGAAGTAGAAGTAGTAGTAGTAGTAGTAGTCGTCGTGGTGGTGGTGGTATTGGTAGTGGTAGTGGTCGTCCTCGTCGTCGTCGTCGTCGTCGTAGTCCTCGTAGTCGTAGTCGTAGTCGTAGTCGTAGTAGTGGTAGTAGTAGTCGTCGTAGTAGTAGTATTTGTTGTTGGTGTTTGTAGTAGTAGCAATAGAAGTAGTAGTAGTAGTAGTAGTAGAAGTAGTAGTAGGAGGAGGAGGAGTAGGAGTAGGAGTAGGAGTGGGAGTGGGAGTGGGAGTAGGGGTAGGAGTAGGAGTAGTAGTAGTAGTAGTAGTGATAGTAGTAGTAGTAGCAGCAGGAGTAGTAGTAGTAGTAGTGATAGTAGTAGTAGTAGTAGTAGTAGTAGCAGGAGTAGTAGTAGTAGTAGTAATAGTAGTAATAGTGGAAGTAGTCGTAGTAGTAGTAGTGGTGGTAGTAGTAGTTGTTGTTGTTGTTGCTGTTGTTAGTATTAGTAGTAGTAGTAGTAGGAGGTAGCAGTTAGCAGTTAGCAGTTAGTAGTCAGTAGTCAGTAGTTAGTAGTCAGTGGTTAGTAGTCAGTAGCTCCATGTCTTCGGTGCATTGCGCAACAATAAAACATATCTCAGACTGCATGCATTGCACAACAATAAAACATATCTCAGATTGCACATAACATGATGCTAGCTCATCGTATCTGAAACATATCTCCAACTGCGCATAACATGATGCTAGCTCCTCGCATGTGAATTGAAGTCACCAAATGCTTGCTATGTTGCACTCTAAATTGTACCCTTGGGTGGAGAATTCTCACGTTTTTTGCAATCCGCCAAGTTGATGCTACGTTGGGTATAAGATCTCTGATGTCTGTAAACTTGCTTACTTGCAACAACAACACGTACGACATGGACAGTTGCTGACGGTCAGAGCTGCAAATTGTTGGGGTGGGGGGTGGGGCCAACATAATGACGTCGGTCTACATCGTCGGCCAACATAATGACGTCGGTGGGGCCAACATAATGAACGAGCTGCGCCGGTGAGCGCAAAAAAGAAAGTAGTTTCGTCATTTCGCAAAACGTGGAATTTGCAGTTGCATCTTTGAAAATGATAGTGGCGCTGCAGCGCCGTGCGCATGTTCAATTAGATGGTCCTCACGAAACGCCACGGCCTACCGGGGGTCGTGCACCTAGTAGTTAGTAGGTAGTGGTTAGTAGGTAGTGGTTAGTAGGTAGTGGTTAGTAGGTAGTGGTTAGTAGGTAGTGGTTAGTAGGTAGTGGTTAGTAGGTAGTAGTTAGTAGGTGGTGGTGAGTAGGTGCTGGTGGTAGTAGTAGTAGTAGTAGTGGTGGTGGTGGTGGTGGTGGTGGTGGTGGTAGGATCTTAAAATTGACCTTGGAATGGCACGTTCATTCCTAGTCAAAATTTCACCCTCAGCGGGTCAAAAGATATGTATGTTACCTTGGAATAGCCTTTTCCCCTTCTAAACTCAACGCTCACAAAATCCATGCTACCTTGGACTGGCACCTTCCACCTCTAAGCGTTAGCCTCGGGCGGCCCACACAAGGTATGCAACATTGGAATGGCGCCGCCCTCGATATTTTATGCTCGAGCAGCTCACAAAAGGCGTTCTACATTGGCACCTTCCTCTTCTAAGTTTTACCCATACCTTTTGTGAGCCACCCGAACGGAAAACTTGCAGGAGGAAAAGGCCATTCCAAGGTAGCTTTCCGTTTGTGAGCCGCCCAAAAGGTATGTGACACCTTCGTTTTCTAAATTTTAGCCTCGGATGGCTCACAAAAGGTATGCTAGAAATTGTCTTTGGGCGTGGCTGACAAAGCATTGCTACCTTGGAATGGCACCTTTCTCGGTTAAGTTTTACCCCCAGCAGGCTCACAAAAGGTATGTGTCGCCTGTCTCCTCTAAAGTTTTCCCTCGGATAGCTCACAAAAGTATGCTGCATGGCAACAGCTCCTTTCTTGTCTAAATATTTGTCTCACAAAAGGTATGCTACTTTGGAAGGCCAAAGGACCAAAGGACCAGGAGGGAACCAAAGGACCAGGGGACGAAACCAGCGTAACAGGGGACCGCGGCCATTTTGCAGACGCACAGTTGGGTGTTTGACGGTTCGCGAACCACCTTCTCTTCGTGTTGCCTAGCTGCCTGGCTGCGCTTTAGGCATATCTACCCAACGTCACTTGCACTAGCGCGCAAGAGATGCTGACTGCATTGGCCCAACCGAGCGATGCCAAGACTGCATTTGTTTCTCACCACCAAGCTCTTTGCGGCGTTTCTGGCAAAAAACAATACTGTGACGGCATAGGGATCAACAAAAAAGCAAATAACCTATCAACGAAACATAATTAACCAATCAATGAAAAATTAGTAACTAACGAATCAAAACATAAATGAGTATATACCTAATCAGCTGGTCCCCTGGCCCCTTGGTCCTTTGGTCCCCTGGTCCCTTCCTCCCCTGGTCCTTTGCTCCCCGGGTGGCCTGCATTGGCAATAATGCCCTGACTGCCTCAATGTTCCCTTGTGTCACTGCAATCAGCAAGTCCTCAGTTCCACAACAAGATTGCACGTCATGGCAAGGAACTTTTGTACAGTGCTACGGTATGTCTCTTGAGCAAGATGCAAAAGTCTTGAAAAGCCATCTCCAAGGTTAGAAAACTACTTGCAGCAGTTCTTTCAAAGTAAAGCTTTGGGTTCCACGTAGCGACAAGAATACCAAAGTCACAAAACATTTCCAACTGGCAAGGCTGACCAACTTCGAACATGCCGACAACATTGGCTGGGTGGCAGCGAACACACGCCAAACTTGCCCCAGATTGACTAACGACAGACTCCCAAAGAAGCAATGTGTGCCAAACTAGCCAGGCTGAGCAGCTCAGCCTGGTGGTTGCCAGAACATGCCAAGGGGCGACCCATCATATGCCCTCGCCCACTTTGTCCACATCAGGAACACGCTGCGTGTGTGTACAAAAAGCAAGCAAAGCGCAGCAAACTCGCCACGCCAACCCTCAGTACCAGCTCGGCTGTGTCCGCAAAGTAGCCGCCCGACGTAAAGTGGTTTAGTTGTACCTGCATCATAGACAGGCCTGTTTTGTAGCGCCTCTTCCACTGCTTTCGATCGCTCGTCGCAAATACCAACTCAGTGAGTTGATTCTCTCAGCGATTTGCCCTTGACCAGTCCAATGCAAGTCTGACGACAATATTTTAGTGCGCCAACAGCATGTTTTGTAATTTCTGCGCAGTGTAGAGTCGAGTGCGTCAGTTGCTTGTCCACAGATCCACAGACGTGTCTCTTCTCGTGTTTCGTCAATCAGCAGAGAGAACAGGAGCTTGCAAACAGAACAGTCGTTGGCTCTCTCCACCATACTACACACCCAATGTGTACAATTATATAATATATACATACAGACTTATCACATAGCCATGCCTGAGCAAATGGCACATTCATCAATCACAGCGCCCCTGTCACCCTGTTATAACCCGACCTGCCAAGCCCACTAAGACTAATTACTTCAGTCATGTTCACTGCAATGATGAACACATTGGGCCAAACACACCTCTCCATACAAACAAACCGCAACCAAGTCAACACATCTGAACCCATTCATCATGAGGTCATGGAACTCACACATGTCTTGACATCTGAAACATGATGAGCTCTGCGTCTGGTGCACACTTGTCTCTTGCCTGCGTTCGGTATACGGACCAGGTTCGATCCGGCGTGCAGCATCCCATCCGCAAGCTGCAGTGTGGCACTCGGAGGGGAAGGACGACAAGGAGGACACATGACTTAAACTTAAATCTACAAACAACCAAAAAAGCAAAAAGTTTGAAGCTGACGCCGGCTACATTTGATGAAGCTGCTGGGTTGAGGTTGGTGCTGAACCTCGCAGAAGTGCAAAAGTAACCTGAACTACAGTCTGTTGTCGCTTGTGGCACTTCATTGTTGTTCTTCCTGCCAGTTCTGACAGGCCTCTTCAGGCTGTCAACCACATATTGTTTAGTGCTTGGTGGTTTTACTCTGCCAGCTGCGCCACTGACTGACATCTCGTGGCATTCCACAATCTGGACACGCATGGCAACTACCAACTTGCGGAGAGTCCTGTTTATCAATGTGGTGTAGTTGGTTGTGGCGATGTCTACCACTGTGTCGCCATCGTGGGTAGCGGGGTGATGGTGGTGGTTGTCGTTGTGGTCGTGGTTCTGGTCTCCTTTTCCTGGTCCTGGCGCTTCTGGTGATGGTGGTGCTGGTGGTACTTATGGTGCTAGCTGGTAGTGCTGCTGCTGCTGCTGCCGCCGCCGCCGCCGTCGCCGCCGCGGCTGCTGCTGCTGCTGGTTGTGCTAGCTGGTGCTGCTCGTGCTGGTGCTGGTGCTGATGCTGCTGGAGCTGGTGCTCGTGCAGCTGGTGCTGGTGCTGGTGCAGCTGGTGCAGCTGGTGCTGGTGCTGCTGGTGCTGCTGGTGCTGGTGCTGCTGGTGC